GTCTGATTTTAGGTGTACCAGACTTGGCCATGTCCCCAAAGCATACTTTGAAGGAACAGGTGAAATCAATAGGTAAGGAAAAATATCTAAATCAAACACACTTATTACACGAATGTATTTAGTGAGATTGACCAACAATGTGTACATATTTTAGTAACACTTCTCTCTTATTTAAAAATATTTTTTGGATGCTGGAATGTAAGAGACTTCAATAATGCAGAAGAGTAGTGCATATAAGTGTTCTCAGTACAACTTGGTTGATTTATATACCTTGTTCTAGTTCAGGTGAAGTTACAAGCCAATATAAAACACTCATATTTTTATAGTGCACGATACCTGTTTTCTTTTTCCTAAAGGGACTTGGTATAACACAGCTAAATAAAGCAGAAATTATTTTCCTTCCCTATAATTTTTATTTCTTTCCTTTCCCCTTTTCTCTCTCCCCTACCCCAATTGTTTTAATCTCTGATTCAAAGTCCATTGAAGTCAATGGAAAGACTCCCATTTATTTCAATGGGTTTGGGATTGGACCTTTATTTTTTTCGTTTTGATCCCGGTTTTACTGAAGTCAAGAGGTCCTTTTGACACTGACTTAAATGGGAGTAGGATAAGGCCTTTTGTTTGCTTTTGAGCTCTTTAATTTCCTTCCTTCTCCCCTTTTGTTATTACTTTATATTTGCCTTTACCGTAACTCCCCACTTAACGTCCTCTCGCTTAACGTTGTTTCGATCTTACGTCCCTGCTCAATTACAGAACATGCTCCATTTAAAGTTGTGCAATGCTTTGCTATAATGTTGTTTGGCTGCCTGCTTTGTCCACAGCTGGCAGTCCCCCTACCCCGCCCCCCAGTGCCTCCTGCCCACCAGCAGACCCCGTGGATCAGCGCCTTCTCCCTTCCTCCCCCTCCCTCCTGCCCGCGGCAGTCAGCTGGCTTGTGGCGTTCAGGAGGGAGGGGGGAGGAGCGAGGACATGGCACGCAGGCTCCCCCCACTCCCCTGCCTCTGGAACACCGCAAGCCAGCTGATTGCCGTGGGCAGGGGGGGAAGGGGGAGCCTGCGCACCATGTCCTCATTCCTTCCCCCCTCCCTCCTGCCCACAGCAATCAGCTGGCTAGCGAAGTTCAGGGGGCAAGAGGGAGGGGGGAAGAGTGAGGACATGGTGCGCAGGCTCCCCCCTCCCCCCCGCCTCCCGAATGCCACAAACCAGCTGATTGCCGCGGGCAGGAGGCAGTCTTACCTTTTGCATACTCAACTTTTTGAAATCTTCATCATTTTTAACAGACTTTTGGATGGTGTTTCCTAAGTTCATTTCAAATGAAAAAATCAAAAATATTCTGTCACATTCACGAGCTAGCTTGAGAAGATGGGTTGTGTTCTATTCCTGGCTCTGGGAGTGGAGTGCGGTCCGGGTGTTCGAGAAGAAGAATGATCAGTGGTGACAGTTAGGATTACGGGGGGCTATTTTTGTATAATGATGCTTTGTGTTTATATAAAGCTGACTCACTGGCAGGTCTAAAGCACTTTAAAGGTGGGTGTGCAGGAGCAGCTCCATTTTACGGACAGGGTAGCCACGTATGTCAATTTGGCATATTTTGTTTGGACAAGGGGACAAAACTTGAGTCTGTCATATTGCCAATTGTAAGTTTCAAATTGTTATTCTCCTACAACCAACCTAACATTAGATTTGTGTCCACGCTAAATTTCAGGGTTCAAACTTCAGCTCGTTGCCCTTTTCATTTTGTTTAGAATTTTTTTACAAAGAAAAAACATATACTTTTTTCTCATTCTTACCTTAATTGAAAATGTCAAAAGAGATTTTGCTCGATCTTTCTAGGAGTGTAAAAAAAAAACCACAACACCCCACCTTTGGGCAAGTATAGTCAGTGTTAGCCCCCAAAGGAAATAATTTGGAAAGTTATGAGGTGTATGACAACTGTCAAAAAAGCTGTGTTACAGACATAAGGATGTTGTTATGAATATTTATTATCTGTTGGTATTATTTATTCTATATATTGTTAAGGCACCCATCACCATAAAATCATAGAATTAGAGAACTGGAAGGGACCTTGAGAGGTCATCTAGTCCAGTCCCCTGCACTCAAGGCAGGACCACAGTATCTGGGCACCCTTTAGAAGCACTAGAGCAACCAAGAAACAACTCTTCCTTCTCTGTCAGAATTGCTTTCTTAAATAGATTAAATCCAGATCGTGACCATCTGTATGACCATTTCCTAATGATTCAACAGCTCTGGGGAAGGCTAGGTATCAGGCCTAAAGATGGCAAAGCCAGGATTCAGGTGGCTCTCTGGAAGGAGCAAAATCCATAGACAAGGACTGTCCATTGAATGTCCCATCCACTGTAATTATAATTGTAAAATGATATTGATGTGCCTTGGTCTTTGCTGCAGTGTTAAAAACATGTACAGACAAACGGATATAAATGATTATTTTTCATTAGGAGCCATGTACCATACTGCAGTCCCACTTGTATCAAATACTTGCAGAATATTCCTACCCAATTATGGAAGGAGCTATTTCAGCAAGAAGGAGGACCCACATAAGAAATATAATGTAAAATCAATAATAAGTTCAGACTCTTACAAAATGCAAACCACTTTCTGAACAAACTATAAAAACACACGGCATTATAACAAAGTTCTTGTATTAAGTCTTCAGGACTTTTGAGTGCAACCTACTGTACTGTAAGTAAAAAGAGATTATTTTTTGAAGGTGATGACTGAATGTGAATACTTTTTACGAGAGTTTGGAATCTTTCAATGACTATTTTAGGTGTGAGGTACGTAGAAAAATGAATGGTTCTGTTGGCTTTGATTTTCAAACCTTAGCACTAGAGAGAGAGAAAAAATGTCTTCTCCTCCCTCTGGAAAAATTGGATTTTTTTTGTGGAAATTTAAATATCAAAAAAACTTTGGCCAAAAACCAAAACGTTTTGGGTCTGGGGACATTGTTTTGTTGAATGAAAAACTGAAATTTTTCACAGAAAGCAGACACTTTTCACAAAAATAAATTAAAAATCACAAGTCACTTTTGATGGAAAATCTTTTCCTGGCCCTACCTAGCATTTTGACTCCAGTTATTCATGTCGTATAATGGAGGAGCAACATTTTGGGGAGATGAGGATCACAGATGACTCCATTTGCCCCCTCTCACTTGTGAAGGCTCTACCTTGCAGTGACTGTCCTCCCCCAACCAGTCAGCAACATTTAACATGCCTACCCGAATGGGATGATAAAGAGCAGTGAAAATCTATCCCTTTGCTGAGGGCTGACAGCGATGACCCTACTTCATGTACCGTCTTTACCCAATCAGGAGCAAGAGATCAAGCTTAACACTCAATACTTTGATCTCTCAAATAACCAATGGCTAGTGAGGCCGCCTTGTGCTTGATTTGTAACTGACGCTGTGTGGAACATATGATCTCTCAAAACATTGTTTAGCATGGAAACAATCCTACAGGTGAAGCTATTGCTACAGGATAGGTGTGCCACACCTCTGTACTTACGGGCATTTGAGCCACTTTATCTATCATAGAAATCATCATCCAGAAAATCCTATTCTCCTATGAACCAGGTTCTCAGCTGGTGTACATTGAAGTCAGAGGAGCTCAACTGAAGTACACTGGTTGAGAATTTGGCCCCAGGTTTTTCTGGAAAATGTTAACTATATATCTGGCATCCCACACTCAGTAGAAAACATCACTTTTACAAAATAGCGTATTCTAATTGCATTCCAGAGTAAAACAGATAGCTTTGGAGGAACTTCAATGCTTGCATAGAAATATCTGTTTATCAGCCACCTCTCTTTATTCAGCTATTATGTGCATGATCTAGGAAAGTGCATGCTCACCAAACAAGGTTTCTAGCACAAAATGGAATGTAAAGATTGTATTTTGATATTACAGCATTGCTTTAGGGAAAAGCTACATTCTTAGGATTTCTAAATCAGCACAAAAGTACAGTGATTACCAGGCCTGTTTGATTTTTTTTTTATCCTCTTATAGTTGCCATTACTCATTTTCAAGCATGCAATGAATAATGAAGCAGATAAATCAAACTCCTAATGGGAAGTGATCATTCACTCTGAGATTGCCCTCTGAAGATCCTCCGACATGACCTTATCTCAGAGACAGCTTTATATCCTTTTATGAATCCAAGCCAGCATGGACCTTGGAGGCTTTTGCAATTCAGTGGTGGGATTTATTTTGTTAGACTCATGAATGCATAATGACAACACGAGGACTTTAGGACATAGGTTGCCCTTCTGTTGAGCTATGGATTAAGATCTGTTCAGTGATGGATCTGTAAAATCCAGATTATTGCCCCACTCAGTTTATTGTATATTCCGGTTGGCATGTGTGCAAATCTGCTTTAAATCTAGTGCTGCCTAGGAAGGCTGGAGGCTAAGTGGTTGTTTTCTGCATTGCAATGTTGTAAGCCCCAAGTTTTGATTCTCCTCCAAGTCTTAATTCCTTGATCCTGTAGGGGCTGAATAAATTCATGCTGGGTACTGACAACCATCCCTTGAGCTGATTTGGGAGTGGCATTGATTGCATGGTGGTATATTTTTCCCACCCCTCTCCTCTGAATGGATTCACCCAATGGTGACTTCTTTCCATCCTGCCCTCCCAACTGAAATCCAAATGCTACTTCTACAAAGGTGGCTGAATTATGTCATGTTCTCCTCAGAAACGACTCCACTCATCCATCATCATTTATTAGAATTGGAAGTTGCTTTGGGAGCACTGCCCCTTTGTCACAGGTCTTCAGATTATGCACACTTTGCTTTTTCCCCTTTGACGGTTCTAGACACTGGGTAAGCCAATTTCGCCAGCCTCTCCCTGGACAGCAGTAACTTGCTATTGGCAGGCATCTGTATTTGGGTGTGACATAATGCAAACACATTACTATATACCCAAGTGTCCTGTACAATAATAGGGGTGTTTGGATCTCAGATAGCAAAAGGCTTATTGGTAATGGATGATTGTTTACATATGTGCCAGACCTAGTCCTCCCTATGTCGTCTTGTACTTTTCAATTCCGAGTGTCCTGAAAGGCAGGAGCAGGGTCTTTGTGTCAGGCTCTTCTCTTCCCTCAGCAGATCCGTTTTTTCCCATGTACGACTCTCTGGATGGTGTCAGGCAGACAGGGAGCAGCAGGCCCGCCGATGGGGTGGGAGGCAAAGGGAGCAATTGCCCAGGGGTAGCAGCAGCAGCCACCAGCCCCGGGCCCTTTTAAATCACCCAGGCAGCCCACGGGGCTGCTAGGCTCACGCGGGGTGGTACCGGCACAGCGAAGGCAGCCGGGCAGACATGCGGAAGCCCTGGCCGTGCCGGAAGAGCGCCCATTGACTGTTCTGTCCTAGGACCCGGAATTGCTGTTGGTGGGCCTGGGGAGCAGCTGAATTCCTAAATTGAGGGTGTTTCTGTAGGAGTTTGCTGTGGAAGTGAATGCTGCTGGGATCAATATTAAATACCACTCTGCCTTGCCCTCTCCCTGTGGAGAGGGAGGAGGAGTCAGGCTTAGCAAGGTTGGGAGGAGTTGTGTTTTTCTGGTAGGTAGATGGCAGAGAGCAGTATGAAAGGAATCAACATGGATTTCCCTAGATCTACGAGTTTGGAGCTTCCTTTACCTCACGAGTTCTGGGCTCTGTGGAGCATGGACCCCTCTCATTACCCCAGGACCACAAGCCCTCCTGAAGGGCACATTAAGCAGGCACTCTGCAAGGTGACCTCCCAGAGTTTCCTGAGTCATGTTCAGATGTTGTTGTCATTAGCATGGAGGGATACAGTGTAGATGTCAGTTCACAGGCACATGGGAAGCTCTCTGGAGTGGGCTTTTAACCACCTCCCATGAGATTTGCTACACGGTGTTTCTTGTGGACCTGACGGCATGCTGTGTAGTGACTTACTGCACCTCTGGTTCACATTTTCCTGCATTTCTGCTCCTTGCTTTCCTCCCCCTTGCCCCCCACTCAAGGTTCAGTGTTGTCAAAATGTATTAGAGTCTAACTTCCCCAGAAAAATATTTATTGGAGGTTGGAAGGTAAAATATAATACATATTAGACTATTGGAGAAATAGCTGATCATGAGATGTGGCCATGCCTCATGGTATTGCCTGAATATCTTGAGATGAAGGTATAGAAGGTGAATAAAGTACTCCAGTGCTGCTAAATCCCAGTTTAACTAATTCAGCTTTTTGGTTGATACCAGTGAGAAAAAGCTCATCACAGATGCCCTGAATGAAGAGATTGTACCCTCAGCAGATCCAAGATACAGTGGAATGTATTATGGGAGAACAAACCAGCAGGGTAGCTATATACTCAAACAAGGAGACCCAGGCAACCATATTTCTGTGTTGGCAGGTTGGTATCATTTGCTTATATGTATTAATCAATGATTATGATGTTCTCCTTTGTGTTCTAATCTATCTGAGGAAGATACAGCACACATCACTTACTGAGCAGAATTAGGCCACTGATCCATGCTTCCAGGGGGTCTTCAGAGAAGAAGTGTGTGGGGCCACAGCTATACAGGAGTACAAGGGTCCCTTAAATTCCTTGAGATCTGCCAGGTTTGGAGTTAGGCCTAGAGACCTTTTCTATGAGGAGGAACTACCCCTTCTACATACGAAAAGGGTTATGTGTGTAGAGGAGGGATCTCTGCAGGGAAGTGGAGAAATTCTCCCTACTTTTTAATCACAAGAGGGGACAATCTAGGCCATAATAATATTTAACGAAATGTATCAATGTATCTCTTCTTTGACAGTGTATTATTTATAGCTTCAGGGTTTGACATTCCCCTTTGCAGTATCCTTTTTGATGTTGGAAAATGTTTTCTAAGACGCTGAAACCCTAAATTAACCAATTGGAATGTATATATCAAAACTCTCTTTTTCGCTCCTGTTTCAAAGCATTGTTTTTATATTTTGGTGATATCTCAGCCTGTGGAGAAACCAGAAATGTCTTAATTTGCTTTTCATTTGAGCTGTGTGATGTAGCTCAACTTCACTGCATGTTCTCATGATGACTTTTGACAGAGGGCAGGGTGGAGGTCTTCCAGCAGAACAAGCTACTGCCATCAATCCCTGAGTGGACAACGTTTGGTGAACTAACCATTTTATATAACTGCACAAGGACAGCTTCTGTGAAAGGTATACATAACTCATTATTAAAATGCTACCAAAAACGAAATCAATGTATGCTGGAGTGAAATTTTCCTTGTATCCAGGTTTATCTTGAAGTTATCATTTAATATACACATACATGTCCTGACTGTACCTCTGAGCTTAAGTATTTCCTCTTTGAGTTCCTATCTGGAGATATAATAATACCAAGACATGAACATATTTCCTTCTCCAGTATGACATTAGGTAAATAGTCAGGCATCTCCAAAATGTTCTTGCAAGCCAAACATGTACCAAGATATATGTTAAGGAAGGATTATGTTTAATGGTTGAATGATTTAGTAGGAGTGATGGTCTTCCGTTTGTAAGATTTTGTTCAAAATGCAATCTTGGTATTTAAATTAAAGAAAAAGTGGACTTTGGTTTAAGAACCTTCTTCTATGGTATTTGTGGTTTAGATAAAAACAGCTCCAGGAGAAAAGAAAAAAAAGTGGAGGCTTGTTGCTCTGGACTTCCTTAAAAGGTCCCATGTTACCAAACAAATATAGATCTAGCCAAATTCTTAATTAGAACAATCAGAACTTGGTGTTACTTTGTATTTGAGCTCCTTCTCCTTCTCTGCTTTTTCTATTGGCTATTGGAAGTTGTGTCTCCAATTGACACAAACGATGCTGGCTATGCAAATGAAATTATTGCATTTAGTCTCTCTTCTTTGCAGCTGCATAATACACAGAACGGCACTGATAATGTGATTACGCTTCCTTACTAATTCACTGCTGTATTTGATTGTGTTCCGCATTCTTCCCTTTTCCACGTTTTGTACAATTATCGTTAAGTTTTTTGTTTGTTCTGGGTGATTGGGTTTTTTTGCATGTTAAACTGTCACGTTATTTTAGAGTCTTTGTTAACATGAATTAGTTTTGAGGAAACCCACTGAGAACCAGAAAGGATTTATGAATAGCTAAATCATTGCAAGAGCTCCAATGTATGGTCTGCCTGAGTTTCTTCTGGTGAAAGATGTCATGCAGCTCTCCCTAACTGGGCACCCTCTATGAGCAGGGTTTACTGGGACTATGTCTAGTGAAATCCTGCCTTTCTAGCCAGCCTTTGAACAAAAGGAACCGCTCATCCCAGGCAAGCAAGGAGTGTACCCAGCCGGAGAGCTTAATGCATCTGTGCTAAGACTAGCCAAGACTATCTGCAGATACAGTAGCTGTACTTGAATCGTTTGATCTTTTTATGTAATTCATTTCCCCCTCTCCTCTCATAGGCTACAATTCCCTTACAATTGCTTTACTCATAATTAAGAGACTAGGGCTAGGTTCCCAGCTGATGTCAGTGGAGCTATGCTTATACATGTCAAGCAAAACAAGTTGTTAGATCTGGTAGCGGGTAACTGCAGAAGAAAAACTTCAGCGGAGTGACCCTGATTTACACCAGCTGAGAATCTAGCCCATACCTCTGTGCTAAATCCAATGGTTTCTAGTCTGTAACAGGCTTCAAAGGGTTTATGAAGCAGATGGAACCTTCTAAGTAACTTATCCCCTTGTGCTCCATTACACACCACACATTGTTCTTTCTAAGTAAAAATGTCTCTGTGTTCCTGTGATAAAATAACTTCAGTGAAGTTTTCTTCTGAAGTTACCCTACCCCAGCATCGAACAACTTGTTTTATTGTGTATAAAACTGCTGCACCTAGTCTAGCATCGCTATAGTACAACAGCCAGACCTGACTATTTTATAGTATATATCACAAGCATTTGTAAAAGGCAACAGAGAGTCCTGTGGCACCTTTAAGACTAACAGATGTATTGGAGCATAAGCTTTCGTGGGTGAATGCCCACTTTTTCGGATATACTTCATTGTACTGAGTCTAAATTACAGATGGATCCAAGCCAAAACACTAAAAACCTAACCCCCACATTTGAAAATGCAAGCCTGTCTATTTTGAAATTAGCTTTTTCACGGGCAGTATAGAGCAGAATTTTCAAGTGAGATCAGTGCCCATAATCAGGGCCGGATATTTCACAAGAGTTCAACTCCCATTTAAGACCAAAAGAAATGGTCCGTTTTTCAAAGTAGCTCAGCGTATCGTGGGAACTGCTGGGTGCCAAGCACTTTTGATAATCTAAATAGGAGGTGGCTAAATGGGAGCTGAACTCTCCTGAAAATCTGGCAGCAACTGTGGGTGCAGAACACTTGAAAATCTGGGCCCTGATCTCTTTTGAAAATATGGCTCTTTACTGTACAATACTCATAGTATCATGCCACAATATCTTCCACTGAGTCACTAGACAAAATGGCTTTTTACCTTTTCTAAAGCCATCACCAAGGTCAAGACATGGGCATTGGACAGAGAGGTGTTCCAGAACATCATGAGAATGACAGCACCATAAACAATGCAGAAAATTCCTTAGAAGCTAAGTGTAATGTAGATCCAGAAAACAGCTTAAGATACCAGGAGTATTCTTGAAGATCTTAAGAGATACCTGTGCAGATACAATGACACAGTTAATACAACTGATTGTCAAATAGCATAAATTCAGCTGTGTTACATTTTTTGGATTCACAGAAACAATTTTCTGATTTTGATTTTTGATATGTTATAAAACACAAAATATATTTGATATTGGATGTTCTTTAAGCTAGTAGGCAAACTGCACAGCAAGATCCAATAGTTGGAAGTTGAAGTTCATAGAAATTCAAATGGAAAGTAAGACACAACTTTTTAACAGAGAAAGTAATTAACTATTGGAACAGATTATCAAGGGAAGTGGTAAATTCATCACCACTTGGGGACTTTAAAATCAGGACTGGATGCCTTTCTAAAATATTAGTTGCTTCAAATACAAGGTATTGGGCTTGAAAGTCTTCACGTATGATGCAGGGGAGAATAATTCCCTCAATGGAAGGACTCCCAAGGTGAAATGCTATGACCTGTGTTATGCAGGAGGTCAGATGAGATCTTCACAATGGTCCTTTCTGGCTTTAAAACCTATTCATCTAGATTTTAAAAATAGGAAATTGAGAGCCAAAGCAAACATTATTTTAAACAATTAAAAAATTGAGTTGCTTTGTGACCATAATTAGCCAACATTATTAGTTTTTCTTTTTTTAATCTCCTGCAAAAAGTGGACATTTAGGTATAGTTCCAAAATGAGCTATCAAAACTGACCCTGTATAAGATGTCTTCTGGGTTCATTCTTTCATTGCTCGTCTCTGTATTTGGCATGCTTCTCTAGATCTTTTTCTCTTGTGACCCATTTGTCCTGATCCTTTGTCCTATGTATTTTTTTCGTGTTGTCTGCAAGAGTAGTAAGTTATCATTGCAGTTGGATTCTGTTTTAACAACAATCTTACCTTTGGTTTGACTCTGCATTGTCTTGAATGCATTTGAATACACTAGAGGGGTAACGTGTTTGTTTATATTTGACATTCAACCCCTGGATTCTTTGCACATTTTAAACTACAAACCAGTCTGTGCTACTACTAGAACTTTTTTCTCTCCAAATACAGATTTTTTTTTAAGATACTATGTGCTTTTAACTTACTTTGTTTGATCAGGGTATAATCCCAGAAAATGCATGTGGGATTAACACTTGAGCCATCAAAGTTAGTGGCTATTACACGTTGTACGCTTTTCATTCTTTGTGGGTATTTATGCCAATGTTATACTTATTATCATTCTGCTCGAGTAGCATTTAATGATTCACCCCTATACTGCACTGATGTAAACGACTACAAGGATTTTGCCTTACTTAGTAAAACGATTGATACAAAAAACAGCGTGGAGAAAAGATCTGGAGGAAAATACAAAGGATAACGACTAGAACTAAGTGTTTTGTTTTGAAGATAAACTAACCAAGTGTATAGACTACTTGCAGTGATAAGAGATTTTAAAACTAAATTAAAGATTCTAACGTACGTATTTTCAAAAATAATCAACATTAGCCTAATTACAGCATTAAGCCATACAGAGGTATAAGTACCATTGTTGGCACAATAAACATGAAACCCAATTATTATGATTTTCAAAGTCCAAGACGAATTCACATTTGGAGTTAGGGAAATGCAAATGAAATAATTTTATTCTGACCCAAGTGTAGTCTATGCTATTCCTCCTCTGTTACATCTACCGTTTAGATTTTAGTTAAAGACTTCGGAGATTTTAGTTAGAAAGCCCAGAATCAAACTTCATATATAACCACACCTGTTATTCTGATATAACATGCTACTGAGTTTATTTATTTGATTTAAAAGCTTATGTAATTTGAGAGCCTAGGAATTGCATCATGGTACAGTATAAAGTGCCTGTAAGCTGTCACATTAAGAATATACTGGAAAACCCTTCCTGTAAGGTTGGCTAATAGTAAGTCATGTTTCTGTCAATCATAAAATATTGTGCAACATAATAATTCATTGATAAGTACACATGAACTATTTTTTACTTCAGTGTAAATCACGCCAGCAGAATTCAGTTTACAATTCATGGAAGCCTTTCCCCGTAGTTTATCAGGCATATGCAATGATAACGCTGTTCTGGCCTCCCGAGATTTCAATTATGAAGTCATTTTGGATAGAACTGCTTGCCCCTTGTCCCCTGGGTATGTTCACTCTGTAATATAAAACTATCACAGGTGGTACAAATTAATAATTCATCTTAATTTCAGATTTTTTTTGTATTCACCAAAGAGGGCAATATTTTTCTTTTAAAGGAGAAAATGTGTTTCTAATATAGCATTCGTAGAGAAGTCAGAGGGGAAATCCATGCTGACAGCAAATAATAAAACGTAGCGGCATTAAAAATAAATGTTAGTTTGTGATATCTCTGGCATCTACAAGAAGTGCAATCATAGATAGGAGCGTTTAAAACCCAGTATTAATTAAGTTCTAGTGCCAAGTTGCTGCTGTCCAAGGACTTGATTCTCTGATGCCTTAGCCATTTGCACCTGTGAAAACTGGTTTAATACACTACCATTTGCATCAACATACTGTGTGAGGTAGTGGAGAATCTATCCCTAAGGCCGTAATGTATCAAACCAGCCTTAGGGAAGCATCCACAGTATTTAGAGGGCTGGATCCACAATTGTGGCCACGCTATACTCAGGCACAGGGCAAAGGCACCTTTATTATAATTTATTATTTGTCCTAAGTTAGCACCCGAGAGCCCATGTCATGGATTAGGACCCCAGTATGCTAGGCGCTGTACATTCACTGGACAAAAAGACTGTCCCTGCCCCAACAAATTTAGAATCTAAGTATAAGATAAAAGACAACAGGGGGCTGCAGACAGACAGACTGACAGGGAAGCACAAGTAAACAATTAGACAATGCCAGTCATCATGGTAAGAGCAACAGCTGCCTAACCAGTCTCCGATATATTGACATAACACAATTAAAATCAATGAAAAGGCAGGTGAAATGGGAAAATATCTGCGCTTCTGCTCAAAGCCAATGTCCGTTGTTCAGTTTCACATATGTGCATTAAATTGTTATGGGTTGACTATAAGTGGGTCCTGTGAATGCTTTGAGGATTTGTTAGTGTGAAAAATAAATCTCTGACATCCCATCGTTATTATAAAAGGAGGTGTAAGTTTATTTACAAAAATATGCAGTGGGAATTCTCACAGAATTTAATCAAAAAAATTAAAAATCAGAGTATTCAAATTGTCAGTTAATTTTGCTTCCAGGCCCCCTTTGTATTAATCCTCTGTGAATATTTGTGTAAAAGATTGGGTGAGGATTGAGCCTTGAATGCAGGGCATTTTGTCTCTCTGGATCACAATTCTCTATTAAAAAGGGGGCGGGGGCTTCAGGCTAATTATGTATGATACCAAGGTTCTTGGAAAGTTGCTGCTGCGGGTCCTGATCCTAAGCCGATTAAAATCATTATCATTGACTTCAATGGGCTTTGGCTCAGGTGACTTCCTTAAAGCAAATGCTATTTTAAAGGAAATACAATACATTGCAATGAATGGGAAAATATCCCCTTTTGGAATCGTGTGGTATTCTTGGGAGTGATAAAGTGCATTGCGATTGGCTCAATAATATTTACGCAGAAGGAAAATATTGTGCACTGGGCATACAGGCTGATGAGTCACTTATCAGTATTCGTTTCTAAGCTACAGCCAAAGGGACCCTGCCATAGCAAAGCATGAAATGCTTCAAAACAATGTGTGGTTCTGATGTGCTTCTGAAATCTTTCTAATCTATTTCAGTTCATAGCGATGATGTCAGGTCAGGAAACAGAATTGCAGAGGAAAATGATGTGCCGTGCCTTGTTATAGATAGTGAGTAAGTACCATATTATTGTTGAACAAAAGAGCAACCTTTTCTTTGACCACTTTCTCATAGAGTACATGTCCTGTTTCACTTGCCTACACTTTGAGTCCTGTGATGAGATCTGACTGATTAAATCAGGAGTTCTCAAACTTTTTCCATGGTGTAGACCATGTCCCAATGCAGAGATTATCTTATGGACAGCTACTCTCCCATCCTTGATTGTATAACAAACTACAGGAAAAGGATTACCTGGAAAAATAATGTTAAGAGAATATGTATTTTAGCTCCCTTTAATGAAATGAGTGGACATCTATAGAAACAGGTGGAAGACAAAGAACCAGGTGACCTGCCAGCTTTCCAAAAGCCACCGTTAAGTGTTCTGCAAACCACAAGCTGTCCACAGACCACACCTTGCAAACTGCTGGGCTAAAATCTATTACAAAAAATATCAGTCTCTTCTAAATTATAGAAGCCCATATCTGCCAGAGATCTATATTGTATAGTATCTCTTATGATATTTGTTTATGTATCCTAAAAGTATGCTTATAATTTGCAGCTATTTTCAAAGAATGACCATGCAACATTGTCATTAAAAAGGCTGGGTATACCTGTCGCTGTCTTGTCCTGACTGTTAGTTAGTGTTGACCTACGTAATGTCTGAGGTGGCAATTGGATAGAATATATATTTTGCTTGCTTTCTTTTCTTTTTCTGGACGCTGTTAGGTATCCCCAGAAATGACTGCATTTAAGTGACTAGCAAAGTGATTCCTCTACATAGTTTCTGTATGTTTTCTAAATTTTGAATCCCTTTGGGGTGAAAGGCCCAATATAAATATATTGGTATTTATTAAGACTAAAACCAATACAACTGTTTCCCATTAGGTGAATGACTGATAGTTATTAGAAATTAACCACACTTAAAATTTGAGTATATACTGAGTAAGCCCAAAGATTAAAGCAATAGCCCTAGTAGGCAATTAGGTTTATTGCTACTGGAGGAAGTAGCTAAATGAGAAATCAGATGTAGAATGAAATAATAATCAGACATTCATCATTTTTATAGCAGTGACTCATCCTTTCACAGTGAACCAGCACCATCTAAAGGATAATGTCTCAGAGTCTGTGTCAAAAGACTTGGGCTTATGGGGCTGGTTCTGCAGGGCTAAAAATAGGCATGCAGACGTTCAACCTTGGTATGAAGCCAGGGCTTTGAGATCCTTCCCCACCCCCACCCCCGGCTGGGTTTTAGCACCACCTTGATGATGGGCAAAGGCTGCAAAGGTGCCTTGCAGCATTCCTTTAACCACTTATGCTTTGACATAAAACACAGCACTTACAGTAATCTTTTACTGTCTCAAACGTGTGAGGCCAATAGAAATTTGAGCCTCTCATGGGTTCTTTCCACCCCTAAATGTCCAGCAAAAGGGGCAATCGTGAGCTACCTGCAGCAACCCTGTCATATACTAAACAGGCACAAACACCTGCTTGCGTCGTTTTTTTCTCTATGGGGCCCTCCCTGTACAACAAACCTCTTTCTAGGAAAAAAAATCTGCCCTTTCCTTTCCATGCTGGGAGCTGCATTCCTTCCCTCAAATTCCCTTTGAGTGTCACTCAAGTTCAGAGCAGACTCCGGCAAATCAACGGAATCTTCAAACCCTTTCTCTGAAGACCACCTTTTCCTTTCAGCTGGTGAGGGACCGAGTGCATTTCCCGCCCCTCCAGCCCTTCCTGCTGTCCACAGACTAGTAGGGTTACCAACTTTGGTTGTACAAATTTCTGGAGGTTTCATCACATGACATTATCTTTAATTAAAGATTAATCTTTAATTCCTGGAGACTTCAAGACAATCCTGGGGGGTTGGCACTCCTACAGACAAGCCAGGCAAGGCAGAGCCATGCTCCTTCTGGCCACAAGTTATGCTATTAACCTGCTTTAAGCATGGCTAATATAGCGTTACCAATTAAACCATCATTGAGAAGTAGATATCTAATACCCACACCAAGAAGTCATTTAAAATTCTCGTACTCAGGGTAGACGTTGGCCAAAGGTACAGTTACAGGGAATTCAGCCACAGCTAATAGACTGAAGTTTTACTAGGAATTCTATCTTCCTCCCTTACCAAACTTTCCCTGACCAACGTGACTCGGGACACAGTGTCCCTCCAGCCCATACAGGCTATGCCAATTACCTTAGCATTTTTAATACATTCTTCATTACCCTCCCAGGGCTCAGTCCTAATCTAGTTCACGAGGATTTCCTCCTGTCCACCACTGCCTATGGAGCAATGGTGGTGGCACTCACGGGGGAAAGTGGGGTGTGTGAATTGTGGGGTTACTTTGAGCCTCAGGCAATTTAGTTTTATATGGCCAGGAGCCGCACAATGATGGCAGACTAATTGCTTTCCCTTTTGATGAGGTTCTAAACCCTGGGCTTCCTTGGGTTTTTTTGTCCAAGTTGGGGTTTACGTTTATTTCCAAACCCCTCTTCCCATTTAACTTGGTGACATGAGAATTTCCCTTCTCCTGGGGTTTGTGTCCCCCATGGGCCCTTGATTCTACATAGTCATCAGCAATTTCTGCAGCCTCTAAAACTGTGGGTGTGTTTTGTCACAGATGGCTGCCTTTACTTCATGTGTAACTCTCCATAATGATTGCTCCTGGGCTGATCAAACGGTTTTCCATAATCGCCTTCAGCCCCCATGACCCATTTTCTCATAAAATTACACGTTGATGTACATATTAAACATGAGTGACACTGTCAAACACTCTGCGCTTTCTATACGTCACTCGATAGGGGTAATCTTAAATCTTTTCAATACATTTTCTTTAAATGTCTTGTACACCTCAGCATCACCCTCCTCCATATCACTAAAAACATGTCTTGCTTTCCAAGTTAATCTGACTCTGTTTATCCTCTGGAATATTGTGCGTCCCACATAGTCTCTGAAAGGTGGACAGGTTCTCTTCTACACAGTCACTTTATAAATTGGGCAGACTTTCTCCCACTCCCGTGTGTTTGGGGAGGGGGGGTATATGCATTGGATGAGAAGCCCCTTTTGCTCCTCCAGTATTTTGAGCTGCATTGCTGGGGCTTCCATCAGCCTCCTGTGTGCCTCTCCTGAGCTTTTTGGTTGGCCTTGACTGTTCCATGCATCTCTGGTGGGCTCTCTCCTCAGCGGCCTGGGATGCTCCGGTCTCCCTGATCCACAATTCCACCATGAGTCTCTGGTGGTTGCATTCTTCCTTAGCTCTCAGGTGCTGCAACTGGACCAGTTCCATTGCAGTGGTCACCTCTGCAGGGTCTGGGACAGGATGGTTCTCACCTTCTGGATCCGGCTCCATCTCATCTTCTTCTCTTTGCACCTAATCAAATGTATGAGCAAAGCTGTCAGCTCCTGATCTGGGGGTTTCCCCTTAAAGGATATTCCCACTGCAAACATAAATAGTTGAAGTTTCACCCTAAAGACAAAGCTTGTAGCCAGTCCTATATGAAGATTTATTAAACAGGAAAAGGAAATTAGAGAGCTATTTACAAGGTTAAAGCAAGCAACATAGACACACAAATGAATTAGTCTTAGATTTCAAAGTTATTATAGGCTTCTATAATCAGTAAACTCTATTTGTCCTCTAGGGCTAACCCTAGCTAAGCAGCTGGGGATCTCCTGTTTATGCTAGAAGCCCCGTGCGCCCCACACACCCTGAGTCCAAGCAGCATAGAGATACTTAGATCTTTTGGTTTGGGGATTCATCCCCCTCCTTCCATGTGCTCTGAGCTGCAACCTCATATGATGGGAGGAGTCCACTTGCATGACTCATCTTCACGAGGAGGGGAGCAGAACAACTACAGTCTTTAGTCCTTTTGTTGACGGGTTTTCAATCCAGATGTAGGGAGCTTCCAGTTGTAAGACCCAACCCTAACCCATCTGGTATTGAAGGGTTTCCTCTGTGGGGAGGGGCATAACAATGTCCATAGAAGAGCAGCTCCTCACACTAATTCACGCCCCTCTCCTGTATGGTGATTTATACAGTTACAGAGGCTCACAATATGGAACACAGATATTACAAGTAAGATTAATGCATTGTTGGGGTATCATTAAAAGTAACTATATACCAAGGCCTAAAACACCCAGAGCACCTACAATTTTGTAACAGGAAAAGCATTGATAAGATTTGGCTGTACAACATTTTTTGGACTTTGAGTAAAATAAAAAATCCCCTGACAAATTTGTATTTGCAGAAAATAAGAGATGTTAACATTAAAGAATCATAGTGTGCTCTCTAAAATTCCCTTCTTAACAGACTAAGGGGGAGCGTAACATACAGAGTGATCTATAACATTCAAATGAAGGGTTGTTAATGATAAGATTTCAAAGCTTGGTTAGCTATATTTGTAATGAATTGTAATTAGGGATATTGAGAAAGTAGAGATAAGGTAACAGTCAGGCTCAGGTTTTGCTGGGGATGAGTGTATTTTTGTTAATTTCTTTTTGATATAACTGGCTGATTTGTTTAAAATGCTGTTGTGAGCAGGATAACTAATGTCATGTTAGAAGATGTAACTAAGATACAAACATGTAATGATCAACAACATCTTCCTTTTTCTGGGAAACTTAAAAACTGGATGACCCAGGGCAAAAGGACCTAGAAACTGTACATTCAGCGGGAAAACTGTGGGCATTCGGTGATTAATGTTTGTGCATGTGTAATATACAGGTTATCCATTGAATTTTACATAATGTGTTCAATGTGATGGGAGGAAAATTAAGTAGTGGAGAATGTAAAAATGTGTAAGAATATGTGTAAAATGCCCCCCCCAAAACTGGAGAAACACTGGATCAAAAACTGAAGAACAAGAGTAGAGGACCCGAGGAAGCTCAGAGCAGGTGACGAATGTCATGGAAGAAGGATGGACTTCTTTGTCTCTTGGAATGTGGTAACCTGAGCCCCTTTATCTATTCTGTCTTGTCTGTTATTATGTATCTGGCATGAATGTATGTGCCAGACACGAGAAGTGGTG